TCCAAAAACATTTTCATACTGTCGATGATGCGAATTTCGCGGTACACTCCGTATTGTTTTAGCGGGCAGTGAAAGTCATTACGGCGAAGGACCGCTCGTGAACTCACTCGGACTGACGTTTATGAGCGATCTCCGCGAATTTAATGTCTGGACTGGTTCGAAAGGATGCACACGCGGACCGCGGCGGGACACGATCGGACTAGAGACCCTCTAATCAGAGTCTAGACATCAGGGAGCACGCTCTGATTGGTTCGCCATTTTTCTGCAATTCGCGCCGGTTTTATGAAATCTCTATTGCTATGAAATATAAAAACTTATTAATTATTAATAAAAATACATTGAAATTTTAATTTAAAACGTTTTAAAATATTACGAAAGAAAGAGAGAGAGAGAAAAAGAGAGAGTGAATGAGTTGAAAGTAAAAACTTTGATAGTAATTAACAGTAATAAATTAATATTTAAAGAAAATATAGTAAAAAAGTAATAAGAAAATAGGGAATAAATAACACATATATATATATATATATATATATATATATATATATAAACAGCATATAAAAAATATTTATTGTATACATTAATACTTATGTTATACATGTAAAAAGTATTACATTATTTTATTTTAAAGAATGATGCATCATCATCGATTTGCTATCATAATATTTACGCTTAGCTAATACATTTCGTTTGTTTTTAAATTTTAGTCTTAAGGTAGCAAATTTTTTAAATAATTTTTGACGCAAATTATGACAATTATTAAGAATATGATCTGCTGGAACAGAATTAAATTTATCAAGTAAAAATTCATTTAAATTTACTCTCTGCATGATGTTAAAATAGGGACTATAATGTCTGTATATATTTTCTAATTTTAAGAATACCTCAAATGTTGGTTTATTAATGAAGTATAACGTATTTTTCTTATAACATTTAAGTGTCACAAATCTAGAAAATTCTAATTTTAATGATTTTTTTGACCCAACAGATTGTATGCAATTACAACATGTAGTACATGTTTTCTCAACGGACTTTAAACAGTATCCTGCTATGCTATATAAACTGTTCTTTTCTTTACTATTTAATTCTATTACTGTATTGTTATTAAAAGGGGGAATGTCATTTGTAATTGTAGCTGAAGCATTAGAAGTAAAGGAAATATCAGCTGATACATTATCCTTTTTACCACTTTTTGATAAGTATTCTAAAAAGTCAGAAATATATTCGTCTTCATTTTCATCATAATCATAATTTCCTGCTACTATTGGTCTCATATACATTGATATAGCAATTAGTTTCAAATTGTTTTTAAACTGTAAACAATTTGGAATTACATTTTTTTGACGTATAACTGAAAATAGGTTTTCCATACAATCCTGTGTCAGACGTCCAGTTAACACAAATTTAAAATTACGATCTTTTAAAAGATATTCTACAAGATTAATGATTGATGTCGTGGATAATATAATTCCTCTTTGAACAGGTTTAAATGTTTCTTTCTGACCGATTTTTATGTTATTAAAGAGATCAATAACTTCGTATAAAAATTTAATGTTATCATTGTATATTTCTTCATTTTTTAAACCTAATGCTTTATTACAATTTCTTGAAGTCATTAACGAGAACCATCTAGAGATAGTTTTGACAAACCAAGCAGTAGCAAGAAATTCTGGCTTAGAATTTTCATCTGCCAGAAATTCAAATGAACTACTGACATCTGTTGAAAACACGTTTTTTGCTTTATTCACCCGCATTTTACTAAAAGTATTAGTACTTTCAATATCATCTATACGTAATCTTGGCGTTAAAAGTAATTCTGAATCTTTTTGACATTCAAGTAAATCATTAAAATGTGCAATTTCAACCCTGTTCGATGGCAAGTTATATTTTATTACAAATTCTTGGGGCAAGATAAAAAATTTGTTGTTAATTAATGCTTGTTTTAAATTTTTCAACAGATGTGCAATATCCGCAATAAAATATAAAAATCTACTAGAATCAGATGGATGTGGTATATAATTTCTTAGATTAGAATATCGCCCTACGTTTATTCCACAAGCTTTCCATAGTCTCTGATTTCCAGGACCCATGTCGCAGGTTACATAATTAATATGTAAACCAATATTCTCAGCTTTATTTATGATCTGAAAAATGATATCTTTTAAAATTTCTCCATCAAATGAATCACCAGTAAAATAGTAACCTACAACATGCTTCCATCGACGAGCTGTACCTACAATCATAAATGTTAAAGCATGCGTTGCTGTACCTTTCTCATTTGGATATGTTATGTTTCCAAGCATTGTTTTTGTTGATGAGTCGTAAATATTTTTCGGTGTTATGCTCATTTCATCCATAACTAATCCGCATTCTTTGTCATTATCTTGTAAACGAGACGCTTTCAATTTTAAAAAGTCAAACATTTCATTTGAGATGCCACTTTCAAATTTTAAGTTTTCTAACTTTCGTCGTAATGTACGCAAAGATGGTAATGGCATTCCTTGTAGGATAAGCTCTTCATAACCGGTGGTTCCACAAGTAAACTGTAATTTGAGAGCACGTTGAATGGTCTCATTTGACCAATTTTTGATACGCTTTTTGGTAAATAGAGTCCGAATTTGATCATTAGTTAGCATCTCCTTTAACATTTGCCTATACTTATTATTATTAATCATATTTTTTAATTTTTGATTCGTATTTCTCAAAATCTTATTTTGTTTACGTAAATAAATTAAGTTTTGTAGAGTTTTTTTATTAATTTTACAACACTTGTGATTTTCAATTTCTTTCTCTTCAAAAATTTCATTTTCACAAACTGTATTGCTTGTAGATGCATTGAGAGATTCATTTGTAATAATCTGAAATAAATTAAAGTATACATTAAGAAAAATTAAAATAGATATGTCATTTTTTATTATTACATTTCATTATCTCACACCTACTTCTTGTTCACTTTGATCTTGATTTTGAACATCATGAATAATATGCTCTCTCTCTACTAGGTTTTCTGTAGGTTTCTGTAAGTTCTCTCTATGTATAGGTTCTTGAAAGGATACTCTTTTTGTTATAAAAAAACCAAAAATGGTTGGTACAGCGTGTGGTTTCAATTTTCTTTTATTATCAATCCTGTTCGGCTCCCACATTTCAGGAGCAAAATGCACCTATAAAAAGAGGTTAATAAAATATAACTATCAAAGAATAAATAACTTTATTTTATAAATAATGTTTAATATTTTAGTTTAATATGCCAATAAAAATAAACAGATTATATTAAAGTACAAAAACATGCTTCTCATTCATAGAAAACAATATTATATTTTAATACAAAATCATGCTTCTCATTCATAGAAAACAAGATTATATTTTAATAAAAAACCATGCTTCTCATTCATAGAAAACAAGAAAGCAATAGAAGAATAGCAAGATTGATGTTAATGTTTAAGTATTTAAATTAAAAGTAATGTAACTTGATTTCATGTACTTTTATATATACATAACCTGTGTTTTATAGCTTTCCTTTTTTATAAAAATATTAATTTAATGGTATATACTATTTCTTTATACATTTTTTTAATTAAATGATAAAATATTTAAATAAACTATTATAAATTAAATGAATAAAAAAATAATTTACCTCGCACAAGTAAGAACTATTTGTTGGCGTCCAATTTGGACGATTCATATTTTTAACCCATTGCTCTCGACGATGCTTATCTCTTGGGAATATCTTCATGATATAGCCCTTTGCAGAGCTATTGTTACAAAATTCTGCGGCACATCCACCCATTATTACAATTTACTCTACTTGACCCAGTACACGCAGTATAAGCAGGTTAGGAGGCATTAACGAAGAGAGAGTGAGGTAGCACATATCTCTCTCTCTCAGGATTTTGCAGAAAAATGTCGGACAACCTAACTTAACCTTCTGATGTCCAGACTCTGATTAGAGGGTCTCTAGATCGGACTAGTTCGAGCGGCATGAATGATCGCGGTCGTCCCATGCT